AATAATCTGCACCGCAGAATTGACCTTTGACCCTGTGCTCGTCTGGCGGGCAGGTATAATCGACTGCCCAGTTGGGGTAGTGCGAGTCGGCGGGCTCAAAGAGAGAGCTTCGGAGCGACAAACGCGGGCGGGAAGGGGATGCAAGCCTCGGGAAACGCGATTTGCGACGTGGGACTTCCTGGACAGCGGAGAAGGGAGGAGCGTAACCCCGATGTTGACAGCAGCACCGATTCAACACTTCTGGTAGAATTGACAAGACAGAGTGTTGACCGCGTTGAAGGGCATGATCGACCGGAGGGGGAAGAGAGAGAAAGAAAGGAAGAGGGGTGGGGGAGGAGAGGAAGAAGGAGAGTGGGAGGAGGGAGGGAGGGGGGAGGAGGAGGAGGAATAGGAATAGGAAGGATGAGGCAGTTGGGGAAGATGGATGGACAGTGCAGCAGCAATCAGCTAGCAGCAACAGCAAGAGAGAGGGCGGGCGGGCGGTAATCGAAAGAGGGGTGTGTGTAGGTAGTTCTGGGTATTAACTAGCTAGAGTGAGCTAAACTACTAGACTAGTTAACGGGTAATAGTCTAGTCGCTTTACTTGATTGATGGTGCGTAGGTGCTTGTTCGGCTTTTCTCTGGATGATCGGAGAATACCTAGACAATGGCTAGAACAAAAGAAAGAGAAAGAGCAATGCGAGGCAGAGGAAGGGGACGGGGCGAGGGGAGAGAAGAAAAAGTCAGTCAAAATAAATCAGTCCCTCCTTGAGAGAGAGAAAGGGGGGCTGATAGTGAGTTGGCAAAACAATAACATACAAGGGAATAGAAGGAAGGAACAGAAACCGAGAGCAGGAGATGGGAGAGGTAGGGAGAGAGGGAAGCAGATAATGATGATAATATTGTTCGGTGGTGGCATCACAACTGGACGCTACAACTGAAGTATAATACCAAACCCTCAACGGCATCAGCATCAGCATCAGCATCATCAAAATAATTTAATAATATGACGATAATATAATCTCAATTACAATGGATAGACACTTGACGCCCATCATCCACCATCCGCACCATCCGCATCATTAGCATCTCTCAGCATTTCCACCCTACTTACATCCAGGCTTGCACAACTTCTATGCCTTACCCAGACCAGTTCAAGTTGATTGACTGGTGAGTTGGCTGGGGAAGGCCAAAAAGCGGGTCAACGGGTCGGATCTCGCTGCCTCATTCAAATGCGAGCATAGCTTACAGAATACGGAATACTTACGGAGTACTGTACGCACTCAACTAGCTGTTAGCGAGCCATCAACCGAGGCGCTCATGTTTTCTGATACGAGCAAGGGTAACGGTCCAGCCGATGACGAGCACAGCCCACTCAGTAGTCGAGAATCGAACAAAGTTCAGCTCCGAAGTCATCAATCATCGAGGAGGGAGCAAGCTGCTGGTCAAAAGAGTCAATCGTGTTGGAATACGAGCGGGACAAATGGGGAGGCAAGTAGCTCAGGAAGAGGCCATTGCATGGTTGCAAGAGAAGACACATGAAACTGGCAGCATGGGAGTGAGTGATTCTTAAAATCGAGGTGGGCACCGCAATACAATGGAATAATCATGAGGCCGATGGAACAGGGACTGGAGCTCCAACAACAGGGCCTGAACGTGTGTGGTGCTGTCCCTTACCTTGGTCGGTGAAATAAGGCTCCAGTGAGGTCTTGGATGTTGTTCTTGTTTTTGTTTCTCTTTTGGGTGATCTCTCCGATCCATGGAATCGATCATTTGATCAATATCAGAAGCTTTGAAGAAGACAGCAAGTGACAGCCAGCCAACTTTGAAGAAGGATCGGTGTAGGTTCAAGGCACGGAATGTGTGGTTGACAGCTCACGGTACCTAGTAGGTACATACCTACTAGTCATCTACCTAAGGTACCGTAGACAAGGTGCCCCGTACAGTAAGTACTGTACACCGTCTCGCCCGAAAAAAATAGAAGGGGAGGGGGGGGGAGGATAATGAAGGCCTGAATGGCCCGGCCAGCCAGACCGCGGTGGACAGCGGGCGAGCGGTAGCCTAACTAAGGTACAGGTAGACTAACTAACATAAGGGGGAGATGGAAGAGAGGGACAAATCAAACCACCGTTTCATCGAGGGGGGCGGCGGATGGAAATAGAATAATAGTCGATCGTCATCTCATGAACCAACTGGGCAGTAATCGCCAGTGCCCCTGCCGTCATTGGCTGGGTCGGAAGATTACGGTGGCACCAGAGGCTGGATACCTCAGGTACTGGTTGCCCGTACCTGCCTTAGTCCATTGAGCTGGTCACCAGGTTGTCACGTTAAGTCGCGGAGTTAGTACTACGGAGTACACTACCTTTAGTCTAGGCTACTCAGTACTCATAAGTTACTAGGTACTGAGTAGTAAAGTGAAGTAACTAGGAGGTTGGGGTTAATTAGACTAAGTTATTAGGTAGACAGTCAGACAGAACAGATAGATACCATCATGGATGTGTCGATGGTACTGTACCTGGTATCTAACCTTGTTACTTCAGTCCCTTTGCCCACTACTTCAATAGCACCCACGGTTGACCCCTTCCCTCGGCTCTGTCCCAAAGGTTCAGTTGATCGATTATTGCTCAGATGCGGAAGCTTATTTGAGTGCAAAACCACGGTAACCAGAAGACCCTTGTCTCGCTTTGCTTTCGCTCTTGCTCCCTTTTGTTATCGATCACTTTGAGATCGATCACCAGTGTCATATCATCCCTCTCACCCTCCCCTGCAACAGCTGTGTAGATACGACATGTTCCATTGTGAATATTCTCCGTCCACGCCTAGCGTCGTCATCTCCGGAGAACTTTATGCTTCCATTCAATGCAATTGTCCATCAAGCCCAGAAACCACCTGCATAGTCATAACTACACTAGTAAATTCCGACCCTTTCTCTCGAGGGCACGCATTGTCGGGTCACTTGGCTCAAACATCACTCTTGCCGTGCATAAGAGGCTGGAAACCGGACCCCTGCGGGCGCAACTCCTTCTAGTAGCGCGCGCTTGCATCCAGGTAGTCAACAGCAATAACCATGGGGGCCAACCCTCTTCCATAACCATACTCTTCTCATAAAACTAGCACTTCCCTTGAGACAGGGACCTCCAACTTGTGTAAAGCAATGGGCTAAGCAGCCATCCAGGACCTTGTCGAAGGGCCGGCCTCTCATGCCGTAATTAAGGAACTGCTTGTTGATTGGAGCAGGCTGGGGACAGAGCGAACCTCGCAAATTACTGCCGCTGAACGCCAGAGTTGTTTCGCGTACAAGGGCGAATAGTCAGTTGGAACACTCTACCACGATTTGGCACTACCTACTAGGAAGTAGGGTGTAAACAGCTCCGGGGATTTGCCATCAAATGGCAGGAATGGATTCAGCTCACCTGCGATTTCAGCCTTGGGACTTTATGCACCTAAACATTGGTTGGCGATGACATGTGAGGCGCATGCCATCAACTGCATTGGTTAGGGGCACAGTGAAGGCTGCCTTTACGCTGATGGGTGCTGTTATGGATATTGTTCCGCCTTTGCAGGATGCAGCAAAGGCGGAACAAAAAAAACGACAGCAGTCGGATTTGAACCGACGCCTCCGAAGAGAATAGATTTCTAGTCTATCGCCTTAGACCGCTCGGCCATACTGTCTTATTTGATCAAATAAGATAGAGCTGGATATCTTGTTTGCTAAGATAGAGAGGCAATTCAGAGGAATCACAGATGGGAGTGGTGTCTCGTCACTGCGTCACTTTCAAGTCAATGAACCTTACTTGGAGATGTTCTTGCTGACTACCGGAATATATCTGCAGCTTGTCATAGGAACACTTGCGATCAATGTTATGCGAAAAAA